ATTCTTATTTAATTTTAGTACAGGGTATTACAGTATGCCCTTCCAAGTCAAAAATCCGATTGTAGTGTAGGTTGTAATCCTTCGAATTCTGTCACTTCTTTCTCTCTTTGACTCTTCTAAACATGAAGGTCAAGGTTATGACTGAGAAACCAGAGAGTGAATTTATTTATAGACTAAGTAGAGATCATAAGGAGAAATAAAAGTCAAGCTTTCAATGGGCCTAGAAATCCTATGTCTAACTCAAAACAAACATCCTATAGTTTATTAATAATAATTTAGTCCACTAAAAACTTATTATTGATCTCCTAGATCTTATCTCAAATTTATATTTCAAGCTACTCATTATTATATGCTTAATAATCTTTCAACATTTAAGATTAGAGATGCCCGTCAATTAATTAAATTATTGACAATTATATTTAATTTACTTTTTTTTTTTTAATTTTTGAGATTTTACTACTCGATTTATTTGTCATATCAAATAATTAAATTCACCTTCAAGGTTTGACTTGAAGAAAATTTTTGAACTTTCTCAAAAGGGCATCATCAACTTATTTAAATATTGAGACATGATTTCCTTTAATAATTAATTTTTACCATTCAAATAATGTTATCTTCTAATTCACTGAATTTGTTGATTCAATTATGAATTTCAATTTTTGATGAATTAAAATAACAATCATTATATGCACTTGCTTATTAAATATTTTAGGATTAAGAGGTTAAGCAATCAAAATAAATTTGAGATATTTAATTCTTATTTAGTCAATAAAAAGAAAATAACCTCAATAATGATCATGTCTAATAAACAAAGTGTACTAGTGTAACAATCCAAAACATCAGACAACCTTCTATAGCGAAGACAAACTATGCCAGAAGATTGCGCTATAATTATACTGATGGTATTTCTAATTTTATCTAAAATTGTGAACCATTACTTATATTATATAAAAATCTGATAATCTGATCTTCTGTGTATAAGTCGAATTCTATATACCAGATTATCTATAATATAAAATAGAAGATACACATACATATTATTCATTTAATATAATGCAAATATTTTACCTACACAAATTCTCATTGAAATATAAAACGAAGAACTTTTATTAAATAATAAACTAAGTTATATTAAAAAAAAAGAGTAAGTTTTTAGTCTATAACTCTATCGATTCTTCCACTTATACTCAAAGTCATACTCTCATTAATCAAATTTTCATTCCCTTAACGTGGCTGTGAAAAGTCTTTATCGATAAGCTATTTGTGAAAGGATTTACTAGGATGTTTGTTAATGCAATCTTGGTCACTAGTACATCACCTCTTTCCCATGATGTCTCATATAAGGTAATTCTTACGCTCAATGTATTTTCTCTTATTATGAATTCATGGCTCATTTGAATTAGCAATGGCTCTACTATTGTCACAATAAAGTGTAATAGCATATCTTATTAAAGGTATCAGTTCTAAATACATAAGGAAGTTTCAAGGCCAAATTGTTTCTTTAGTTGTCTCAGAAGCTGCCATGTTTTCGACTTTGATGAGAACATAATATTTCATATTATAAACTTCATACCAATTCATCTTTGTCATGCTAATAACTTAATTCTCATTCAGGATCAGGAATAATAATTGAATCTATTTTGTAAAAACAATAATATTTTTAGACATAAGTGACTATTTGCTTTAACGTTTTTGTTTTGGATATTTTTCGAAGTTAATCCATTTTTGTTTCAGCAATAAGTTGAAGCTAACTTTTTCCAAAACTCCATTTTTCTTGTAGTGATGGTGGTGATTGTAGGTCCTATTTGCCGATTTTTGGTTAATTATTTTGTGACTCTTGAACTTATTTCGGTGAAAAATTTAAAAATTTTAGCTTGTTTTTTGTCAACTTATTATGAATGGTACTGTACGTGGTGTTTGTTTGAAGTTTGAAGTTGAACCGATTCAACTTTGAATATCTCAGTTTGTAATTTTGCGCATCCTTCTATTTGTTGATTCACACATTTCTTTCCTGTATCTCTATTTTTTGTTCCACTGTTTTCTTAGGTTTTTTTTTTTTCATTTGTGTTTGTTGTAGTTGACCAACCTTGACCTTCAATATGATGCATTAAATACATGTTTGATAATATCATATTTTATTAATAATAATGATTATTTTTTTATTATATGACAAATTTGACCAGTGACCAAATGATTAAACCAATGATCCATTGAGTTGCTCATTTTACCGAGTTGATGTCCAATAATAAGAAGACTTCTACCAAAGCTGAATAAGATATAAAAGGTCAAAAATATAAGGCTCAAAAGAAATTAACCCATTATTGTATACTCGTGCATTCTACTCTTGAACTACATTGTCATATGAAACTTGAACAAAAAGAAATTCATGACCGCATCGATCAGATCTTTTGGCTACACGCCATGCTGCAAATTTCAACCCCAATGACCTAGAAAAGTGTAAGCCATTTTGCATTTATTGGTCCTCCAGGGTGTGACAAAACGAAGATGAACATGGGTCCAACATGTGCCAATCGTCAAAATCAACCACTCAATTGTATAAATATTGGGCTTTCTTAGGCATTCCACGCGGCTATTATGAGAAAACGTGTTGTTTTCGAGAGACAAAAAGCCAAACCCATCCATTTCATAGTACAATTCAAGAATTCAAGATATATTCCCGCGTTGAATTAGAAAGAATTGAAATTTAATGGAGTGAAAGCGTTGTCGTATCATAAAAACAACGTTGTTAGTAGGGTCAAGTTGCATCTCAAAAAATTATGCTCGGTCATATAATGTCGTGAACGGGGGAAGAGAGAGGATTCCATTTGAGATGGGAATAAATTTTGAAGTTTAATGCTCCATTTGGTAGGAAGGATTGAAAATAGGAGAGATACACTTTTTATCCTTCAAGGATATTTTTTAAGAATGATACACCTTTCTTCTTTTGTGTTTGGTTGAACGGACGGAAAATAAAAATGACTAATTTTTTTTTAATTTTTTTTGTGCTGGCTAAGATTAGAGGTGACAATCGAATCGTGTCGTATCAGATTTGTGTTGAGTCATAAAATTATGAGTTTTTAATATTTTTTATTTGCGTGTCAGGTCATTTTCAAGTTCGTGTCACAAAATTCGTGTCGAGTTCGAGTCTTGTCATCTTGTTGAATCGAAAATTTTCATCCCTACTTAAGATAAAAAAAAATATTTTTTAATTTAAAATTTTTATTTATTTTTTATTTTTACTTTTTTTAATATATATATATATATACATATTTTATTATTGAATTTTTATATGAAATTAATGTATATATAAACAAATAAAATACATCTCAACACAAATAATTAACTTTCCTTCCATTTCCCATCTGATTTTGGAGGGATTGATTTTGGTGAGTTGGAAGGAAAGTTAATTAATCAACTTTTCTATCCTTCATATTTTCCTTCCTTACCAATCGTGATGTTTTATTTATCTTTACAATTTTTCATCCTTCTATTTTTTCATCATACCAAACAGAACATAAGTATAAGAAATATATAAAAATTCAAGTCTCAATTAGTATTGATAAACTTAAAACAATATGGACAAAAAAGACACAAAATAAATTTAACTTTATATATTTTACCTTGGCCACATTAAAGTGGAACATGGCGATCCATCAAATCCTAAAAATTATCTCTACTTGATTAGTTTAATGTTAAATTTCATAGCAATTTATCCATCATTCTATCATAAAGCTTAGTTGAGGTATTTTTATCTTGTTTAGGAATTGATTTTATTGGAAGAGCAACAAATGTTTTTGGGTTAAGGTATTTTATGATTTACATCTAATTGTGTAATTGGGTTACGTAACAATAAATTACCAAAAAAGGGCGACAGTCAACTATAAATTTTGTTTATCAAAATGGGGGTAATGTACTAAATTAACTACTGTCTTTGATAAGTATATGGGTCAAGATATTTCACATCTTTTATACTCGGTCCAAAAACAAAATATTTGTTTTATTTGGTTAGGGGACACTAAGCCACTTCTTACCGAAAAATCTAGCTATTATACAACCTTTTCAGAAAGGGTAAATTACACAGGATCCCCTCAAACTTCAGGTTAGTTGCATCTCACTATCCTAGACTTTTTTGAGTTACATTTTATCCCCTTCTACTTATAAAGAAAATGCAAATTGTAAAAGAGCTAACAGTGTATGTAAAATGCCTAAAATAACCTCTGATTTGGTTCTAATTTTCATGGATTAATTGCAAATTGTACCTCAAAAGATGTTCGAATCTCAATTTACACTTTGAAAGATAGAAATTTATATCAACAAACACTTGAAACTAATAGAATCAGTTTGCCATATAAAACTAAATAGATAAATTACACTTAAATCTCTTCATGCCTTGTCACTTAATTATTTGGACTTTCTCACATTTAAAATATTACTCCTACATCTCCTGACGTTTGTACACTTGTAACACATAATCCCTTATCGTTAATATCTGTTAACATAATTGTTAAAAAATATAATTTTATACTACCCTTTATTCTGTGGACATGTTATATTTTAAAATTTAAAATCAAGCTTACCATTTGAATGCTCAATATAATGTAAGTATTTATTTAATGTTCTTTATATTCAATGCAATATATCACTTAAACGGAATTATTTGAATGTCCAATTGGGAGAACATTTTTAATCATACTTGAATTCTCAAGAGATGTAAGTGTAATATTTTAAATGTAAAAAGTCTAGGCGATTAAATGACAAGCATGAGTTGATTTAGATAAAATTTATTCATTTAATTTTAGACTACAAACGGATTGGTGTTAACTTGAGGTGTGCATTGATACAAATTTATATCTTTGATGGTTCAAATTAATTTTTTGATATTTGAGGTAACAAATTGAGATTTTGAAAGATCTTTTAATATACAATTTGAGATTAATCCAATTTTATTTGTAATGTAATCTATTAAACAACTTCATATTAATCAAATAAAAAAGGAAAACTTAGTTGCAGGCACACCTTCTCCCATTCTTCTCTGCTTTAATTTGTTCATCAGTGTTCTTGGAATTTTCATTTGCAGCAAATACGATTTCATTGTTTTGATTGTAAACTAAAACAACCCAATTACAGAAACCACGACTTCTCGACAACCCACCTCTCACTACAACCGTCGATCCAACCATAATCATACCCTCATTATCACCAGTTCCATTGCCATAAAACCACCATTGAACAACAATCAACACCGCCACCATTGCAACAAGTCCACAACACTCACTTACATCCGCACCCTACCACCACAAAGCCACCCAAAAAAGTCCGCCACTACCGAACACTCCAACAAACCACCACTACTGAACACCCAACAAACCCTCAGCACCACCACTAAACAACCAACATACCCTTCCCCCCACCACCACCACTGAACACCAAACCCCATCCACCAACACCATTCAATACCTAATCAAACTCCTCAGAGACACAATTAACATCTAATGAAACCTACTCCATCGACAGTTCAATCGCACATGCCATAGCATCGGATGCCTTGCAGAGACACCGAATGTAGGTGGAGAAATTTTTGGAGGAGTGGTAGCGACTGTGGGGTGAAAGATCTGCAACGACTGTGGGGGTGAGGTGGGGTTTGCAGTGGTTTGGGGTTTGGAAGGGTAGTCTTAGTAGCGTGGAGAGGGTTTGGGGTTTGGAAGGGTAATCTTAGTAAAGTGGAGAGGGTTTGGGTGGTCGAGTTTCTGCAAGGGTGGGTTGAGTGGAGGAGTTGTAGTGGCTGTGGGGTAGGGTGGGGAATAAATATATGAAATCGTTTGAAATAGAAGTTGTACCAACTAGGTTTGATGTTCAAAAGTATTTTGTATAAGTTTGGATTGGTTTTGTGAAGAACGGGATGGGGGTGGAGGAGTAGCCGGNGATTTAGATAAAATTTATTCATTTAATTTTAGACTACAAACGGATTGGTGTTAACTTGAGGTGTGCATTGATACAAATTTATATCTTTGATGGTTCAAATTAATTTTTTGATATTTGAGGTAACAAATTGAGATTTTGAAAGATCTTTTAATATACAATTTGAGATTAATCCAATTTTATTTGTAATGTAATCTATTAAACAACTTCATATTAATCAAATAAAAAAGGAAAACTTAGTTGCAGGCACACCTTCTCCCATTCTTCTCTGCTTTAATTTGTTCATCAGTGTTCTTGGAATTTTCATTTGCAGCAAATACGATTTCATTGTTTTGATTGTAAACTAAAACAACCCAATTACAGAAACCACGACTTCTCGACAACCCACCTCTCACTACAACCGTCGATCCAACCATAATCATACCCTCATTATCACCAGTTCCATTGCCATAAAACCACCATTGAACAACAATCAACACCGCCACCATTGCAACAAGTCCACAACACTCACTTACATCCGCACCCTACCACCACAAAGCCACCCAAAAAAGTCCGCCACTACCGAACACTCCAACAAACCACCACTACTGAACACCCAACAAACCCTCAGCACCACCACTAAACAACCAACATACCCTTCCCCCCACCACCACCACTGAACACCAAACCCCATCCACCAACACCATTCAATACCTAATCAAACTCCTCAGAGACACAATTAACATCTAATGAAACCTACTCCATCGACAGTTCAATCGCACATGCCATAGCATCGGATGCCTTGCAGAGACACCGAATGTAGGTGGAGAAATTTTTGGAGGAGTGGTAGCGACTGTGGGGTGAAAGATCTGCAACGACTGTGGGGGTGAGGTGGGGTTTGCAGTGGTTTGGGGTTTGGAAGGGTAGTCTTAGTAGCGTGGAGAGGGTTTGGGGTTTGGAAGGGTAATCTTAGTAAAGTGGAGAGGGTTTGGGTGGTCGAGTTTCTGCAAGGGTGGGTTGAGTGGAGGAGTTGTAGTGGCTGTGGGGTAGGGTGGGGAATAAATATATGAAATCGTTTGAAATAGAAGTTGTACCAACTAGGTTTGATGTTCAAAAGTATTTTGTATAAGTTTGGATTGGTTTTGTGAAGAACGGGATGGGGGTGGAGGAGTAGCCGGCGGTGAAGGGACTGCAGAGAGAGAGGAGGCCGGTGAATATTTATGTGTTCTATGTTTTGCCCATTAAAATTCTCAACTTTGGATAAAGGGTAAAATTGACAATTTAATTTATAATTTTATAAAAAAGATTATTTATTTTATAACACAGGCTTAATTAACACTTTCAATTTTTGCACTGTTATAATAGACGAATTCAGTTAGATTTGTAGTTTATTCACAATAGAGGGTTAAGTGAAACTTGTCAAACTTGAGGGGGTGAATGCAACTAACATTAAATTTAGGGAGACTTTGTGTAATTTACCCTTCAATAAATTAAGGAAGAGTACTGTACCATTTGACAAGTGTTATGAACTTTTATCATACATATAAAATGAAGGTTTTTCACAAGTTAGGGTTGTTGATTTCACAATAACTTTTAACGACCTAATTAGTTACCAGAATATTGAGGAAAGCAATGGCAGTCAAGTAATTTCAATCTAGTTGATTTATTATCTTTTACGTAGTAATTAAAATGGTTTCGGTAGAGCCAAGCGGGATTTGTGCTAGGTTAGATGCCTCTTTGTCAAATAATCGGAGGAAAAAACTCATGGTTAAGATAAGATATGGATAATGACAAGAAATGAGATATGCTTTGTCTTTTTATTAACCAACATTTTTAGGAGGAATGCTAGTTATATTTAATGGGTGGATTATTCTCACCTCTTAATTATCTTTTTACAATCATATTTAATTATCTTACTTCAAACTACTAAGTTTGCCTTATACCCCATCAAAGAAATCGAAACAAATATAGTAATTAAAACAAAATTTCAATGTTCCGATGTGATCTATATTATTTCGAGATATTTTGATATATTTTTATCAATGTCATTGAAATATTTTGAAGTATTTTAATATATTTTGAATAATATTTTAATTAATAAATATAGATGAGGTAGATTTAATAATTAATGAGGTGAGTATAAATGTAATAAACTTATTAGTTTGAAGTAAGAGAATTAATGAGATGAGAATAGTCCCACCCATATTTAATTCGATCTAGATAGTATATCATATATTTGAATTGTTCCATACCAATATAAGCAAATATTGAGGTCTTGACATCTCATTTCCTTCTCTACCACAAAGTTTTTCTATATCATAATACTAAACGTCTGCTATAGTTTTGACAAAAAATTAAAAATAAAATCGATGTGTCATTATATACTTTTGTCATTAAAAATAAATGTACGCTAAAATCGATGTGTCATTAAAAATAAAAGCAAGTAGTTTGGTTGCAGGGTGATAATACTTCTCTCCAATTTATAACGGATATTTATAATTGGAACAAAGTAACGGTAGTAGTTGGAGTTGTGATGTGACGTAAAAAACATGAAAATTCGAGAGTTAGTTTATGGGAGACAGTGCATAGCTGTGGGGTTAAAGTATAATCTATAATATAAAATTAAGTAAATTTAATAAATTTATCTGACGATCTCAAATATATTTATTTAACGGTCATCAACATTCATATCAAAATTATTTTTATTAATTTACATTGTATCGTATCTTCATGTATGTGTTATCTCCAATTTGTCTATATATAATATCACAATATTAAAGACGCCAGTAATGAAAAGTAATTGATATATGTGTTTTACAAGACAAAATGAAGTACTTCTCGGAAAGTGACAAAATGAACTATTTCGTCACAATTATTGACGCGTCCTTGTGGAAGTTAAGAGTCAAGAAGAATGTTGACAAGGACCACATAATTGGCACAAGGGATAAGCTCACACAGGCATGTCCAACATCAAGCGCGTATGGCCGATTCCCGTGCATAGTTTTATCCTCAACTAAACTTTGTAATTTACTCTAATCTCATGTTAGATTGAATTGGAGTCAATAAACAATTCCATTGGATAAAAAAAAAATTCTGAGATTATTTTGTCGAGGTTAATTTAGTTCTCGTTTGAAAGTCTTGACTTTCATAAGCTGCGTAATTTATTGGTGATTGTGTGCGTTTAAGATTTGTATTACAGCCACGAATTTAAAATGCATGATTGAGATGATTTTATGTGTTAACAAATTAGAGCCAACTGAAAATTCTATGTAATATTAAAGACTATTTTAGGGATGGATCCATTATATAATGCTAATGGATTTAAATGTATACTTAATCAATCATTATCATTGATTTCACTGCAGGTCCAAATATTTATTGGGATCCATTACCTATTCAATGATTTTGATTGATCAAGTTTCATTAGCAATACCGTTAAAAAATGTTTTTCGTTAAATAAGTAATCAGGTTAACTATTATCTATTGATCACTCATTTGATTATGCAACTCAATTTTTGCAATCTTTATTGCTGAAAAAGCTCTCTTGACAGTAACACTGTAATTGTTAATATCTTATGAGCTCGAAATTAACTAAGTTAGACCTAATTAATCAAGAAATGCCCACGTCACCTCGGAATTCAAGTCAACAAGTCAAGGAGGAGTCCAAGTTAAGGGAAGCCAAAGTCAAGGAGTAGTCCAAACGGGCACCGCCCAAGGGGCTACCCCAAAGGGGTGCCGCCCAAGGGAGGCCACCCCAAGGGGATCTTTCCCTCCTTTGTCCCTTGTTTCTTCTCCCACGCAACCTTGTAAAGTCCTTCGCCCTCTTGACTCTGTCACTCTAATTCAAGTCCAACACCCACCAACTCAAGTCCAAACCCAGGATCCTCCTTCGACTGAATAGGAGCACGAGGGAGAGAAAATCGGGATACGCATGGAGATCTAATCTTATCTTGATTGAACTTACCAAAATAGTAGAAGCCTTCTCCCTTACGTCACTGCCTCACCGCCTCACTAAACCTATATAATATAAACCCTCTTCACATAGAGGGCATGATTTTGAGACCCTACACCCATCAATTCTGTCTCTTTCTTTCTCCCCTAAAAGCATTGTAATACTCTTGAAGCTATTCTCCTGGTAACATTATTCATCAATAAAGTTCTTCGGCCACCACTGCCGTTCCCGAGAGTGAAGTAGGTCACCTGAATCGAACCACTATAAATCTTGATGTTGATTCCCTTATTTATTGTTTTGCTATTGATTGTTTATTTACAGCTTATTAATTGTGTCTCTTGATATACTCGACTGTTGATTTTGCGCAATACCAATTTGTGCATCATCAATATCAACGTCAAAGTCACAAATAAGTAAATTAGTGAATATACTAAATATTTTTCGATCTTAATTATTTTTTGAGCAAGATCACTATTCGCTAAGATGTTTGACACTAATATGTTTTGCATGAGCCTAATTTTTTTTTTTTTCACTTAGGGTAAGTCCCAATTCAATAGAAATAAAAACATATGACAAAAAAGAGTTTTTTCTAAGGTGGGTATGTACCCCTCCTGGGCCCTTAGTACCTCCGCCCATTAATATCAATGAAAGTAAAGAAAGAGCATGACTATTGAAATATTTTTGCCATGAGTTATTAACGCGTGTCCTTGTAGAAGTGAAGATTAAAGAACATGGTCGACATGATCGACAAGAACATTTCGATAGCGAAGTAATTCTATAGGACAACATTACATTGACCACAAAAGGGATCAAAATCAAATGACCAAATGATATAGTAGTTGACATGGTAAGTTAAATTTTAATTTTAATGAATAAAAATAAGACCAAAAGTATCATTATTACAGTACCACATTATTTGATATATATTGATGAGATCAGATCCAATTCGGCTTGGGCCCAGTCCGTGGGTCAGGGCCAAATCATCCATACTTAGGTCATGACCTCAATCCAGTCCAAATCTCAAGAGTCTAAGAAGGGTCAACATACGTGGGAGAGCGATCATCAAGATAACTAGGACTCTAAGATGGTGCCTATCCCCAATTGTAGCTATTCTCTCCAGAAGATTAGTAGCTTGACCTTCACATCACCGCTTCATCTAGGGTTCTGTACCTATAAATTGTAGACCCCTTACACAGGGGACACACATACTACACATTGAGCATATTCTTATTCTTTCTCTCTCTCTCTCCTACTACCATATATTCTCTTATTAATAGAGTTTTTCAGCCATCATTATAACTTTCAGTGGTTAGGTCACCCAGAACTAATCACCCAATCTTCGTCTCCTATTATTAATTGTTACATCAATTGTCTTACACTATGCACTCTACTAATTTGATTATGCATAATCAATCTTGTGCATCATCAGTTTGGCGTCGTCTGTAGGAAAATGAATAAGTTTTCTACTATCAGTTATCTGTCCGTACTTTCTCCATAGCAATTACAACTAGGTTAATGATCAGCAAGTGAAGGATAATGACCCAGCATGTCGGGAAG